AGGAAAGGAGGTGAAAGGAGACAAATTTAGAAAAGAACATTTTTCGGTCACTACCCGGATTCGAACCCGAGACCTTTGAATGAGAGGCCAACACCTTAACCTCTCGGCCACGGCTGTTGTTGTTGCAGTTGTTGTTGTTGTTGCTGTTTTTTTACGCCACATACCTCTTCGGGACTGTAACGGACGTCGTCTCCGCCACGTCTTGGCCACCTGTAGGAAGCGTCCCATCCCGGAGCTGTGCACTTTGTGTTGATTGAGCATGGTGCAGACGACGCCTACCACCGTGAGCAGAATGCCCGTGAGAGTACACACGAACCCCCAACCCACGTGCTGGGTGTGAGGTGCGTGCATGATCATGGAACGCTTGAGATTCCCCATCAGCAGCATAGCGGTGAGACCAGAGACAGCTTGGAAGACGTTTGGAGAGAGAGGGGGGAGGGGGGAGGAGGCGAGAGCATGAATTAAGAGATGAATTAATTGATAATCAATTATTAATGATTAAATAGATAAATTAGTATATCAAAGAGGGAAGAAAATGATCTTTATAATAGCAAAAGGGAAAAAATAATAGTAATAATAATAATTGTAATAATAATAATAATAATAATAATAATAATATCATTGTTACTACTGTTAAATTTTGAATTTTGCCCGGGCAGCGGCCGAAGCCTACTCTTATTGATTATAGGACCACCATGGGATCTTTAACGTGCGCAACGTGCACACGGGACCTCTGGGATTTCTTCGCCCTTATCCGAGAAAACTTGGAGTTAGATCTTTCTTACCGTAAGATCAGGGATGTGGCTGAAAGACAGCTGCAAGAAGAAGCCAAGGAGTACCAGTAGAAATGCTGCAGAAGGCTAGGGAGCCCAGAGGAGGGGGCAATGGGGAGGAGGAGGCAGAAAGTGGAGACGAAAGCTGACAACAGAACATGGTTAGAGAGCAGGAAATGGGGTGAAAGGGGAAAGAATGGTGAGGAAAATTTCCGTCGCTACCAGGTTTCGAACCCTGGACCAATTGAATGAGAGGTGAACACCGTAACCTCTAGACCACGAGAGCCCCTCTTCCCCTTCCCCCAGAAGGGTCTAAGCGCTGTGCTATGCAGATTCGTTACTCAAATGGTGAATCAACTCAAATGGTGAATCAAAGGATAGAAAATGTACATTGTGATGCCATTTTTTAACAAACAATAACAAATAAACACACGCACACACAC